TGAGGAGTCTCCTGTGCAGCATGGCTCTCCTGTGCAGCACATTGAGCTACTCACTTCTCAGTGGCGGCAGCGGAAGGAGTCGCTGTCCCTGCCGCCATGATCCCAGCCCAGGAGGGTATTTTGCTTGCGCGCATGCATGCGCAAGAAATGAGCACAAGAAAAGGGCTGGAGCTCTTCCCAACACTGAGTTGCCTGCGAAGGACGCGAAANTTAGTAACACGATTGTTAAGTAAATTGGATTTCTCCATCGACCCCCACAGGATACAGCAATTGTCATAAATAGGAACCAGTGGCCCAGTATTCTGAATTTTGATCCTGTGACCATGAGAATGTGCTGCAATGGTCGTTAAGTATGAAAAACGGTCATAAATCACTTTTTTCAGTGGCCGTGATTAACTTTGACGGTCACCTAAATGAACAATTGTAAGTCGAGGACTACCTTATAACTTAGTGGTTTCGGGCACTCTAATGCTCACAAAAACCAATCTGCATTTTGTCAAAACTGGCTGAAAGTTAAAGTAAAGCATGAAACAAATATGCTGATGCAAGACTGAATGATTTTGCTGCCTGAAACTAGCACTCAATAGCCTGTTCAAAAGCTGCTCAAGAGCGGAATCTTTCTTCAGCAGCGCCGTTGGGGCAGGGTCTCCCTCCTTACCCCCACCTCAAAAGTCAGTACAAAGCTGACTGCCCAGCACATAATTCCCTCCTCCAGCACCTGTGAAGGGGGCAGGCCTGCCAAAAACTTTCCATAGAGGAAAATTCTCAAGAGTACTACTGTGGTGCAACATGATCTCTGTATATTTCTGAATCGCCAAGGCGCCCTAGATAATTTTCTGTCCTCCATACGTGCTCACGAAGGGACTAGGGGAGGTATTTGCGAGGGTGGGGGAGGTATTTGTGAATTTCAAGCATGACGCCAAATTTACAATTTAGGTGGAACGCAGGGCTTCTTCTTTTTTCCAGGAACAGCTGCCTTCTCTAGAGGGGAGAATACCAGGTATTCCCCCTGGAGTTTGAAAATGTACATTACAGTTGACAGACAGAAGTAGTATTCAGCCGGTTCGGTCTCGTTCGGACGAACCGGTAGTGGCGACAATCAGTTGGCCAGACCCATCCGCACCTGCCCTATCCTTTCCCCGCCCTATCCTGTCCTATATTTCCTTCTTTCTGCCTCAGTTGATTCATGCGGCACAGCTGATTTCTGCGCCTCCATTGTTCTACTTACCAAGGCTGCCTTAGAAGATAAGCAGATGAGCTTTAAATCGTTATATTTTGAACACTGCAAGCATGTTAGGTGGGATCACACAAAGCGCATGCTCATGAAACTGGTTGTTAAACCAGTTTCAGCCCACCACTGTTGACAGAGGGGGCACTGGAGGGAGGGAACCAAGAAAATCAATGGTGGTGCTTGGGGGGAAAAATCAGTCCATCTGGTTTGCCAATGGCTAAGTAAAAAATGTCCATTGAAAATGTACAGGTAGTCCTCGAATTTACAACTGTTTAGTGACCGTTCAAAGTTATGATGGCCTTGAATAAGAGACATGACTATTTTTTTCATCCTTATGACGGTCGCAACAACATCCCTGTGATCAGAATTTGGAAGCTTGGCAACTGGCTCCTATTTATGACCATTGCAGGTTCCCGAAGTCATGGGATCCCCTTTCTGACAAGCAAAGTCAAAGCAAAATGCACTTTGCAGCTGTGTTAGTAACATAACAACTGAATTGATTCACTTGACGGGCGTGGCAAGAAAGGTCGTAAAGTGGGGGAGGGAAATTCACTTACCAACTGTCTCATTTAGCAACAGAAATTTGGGGCTCAGCTGTGATTGTAAATTGAGGACTACCTGTATTGTTTGCTCTTCCCCCTTCATGTTTCTCTGTCCTTTTGAGGGTTCTTTGTTTCCCAAGGACTGGACATAGCCCAACATAAAAGAGAATGGCGCTCAGTGGTGTGATTCAACCTGTCTAACAACTGGTTCGCTTCACTCGCACATGTGCCAAATACGTGCTTCGCGCATGCGCAGCGGGTTTAAACAAAGCTAAAACACTTACCTTCTACTACCGCCCCAGTGAGTAAAACAGCTGAGGTGTGGCAATCTGCTCTGGGCTGGGCTAAAAAAAGGGAAATATAGGTCAGTATAACGCAGGGGTGGGCTGGTCCCTGAAGGTCGGAGTGAACCGGTTCGCTCTCAGTTTATCTTTGGACTTACTGGTCTGAACTGGTAGACTCCCACTCCTGATGGCACACAATGCTTTATTGCAGCTCTTCCTGTTGCCCTGGGTTAAACTCCACCCTCCTAGGCTTCGTAAGTTGATGTATCCAACCATCTTGATGGTAAGCCCACAGAACAAGTAGAAGTCTTAAAGTGGCACACAGCCTTTGCTTCCCTCCTACACTTGTTAGCTTAAGGTTATGCCTCAATGGGATTGCTCCTCTTCTGGTTGCTGCAATTCCCCAGGCTAAGTTTTAGGACCTGCTCTAAGCAGGAATCACATCACAACATAACTTGTGGACCTGGCCATGGACTGATAGCCCTCTTGCTTGTGCATAAGAGTTGTGCGTTCCAGATGTTGCTTCCCACTGGCCATATCTGTTTGCCATTTTCTTAACTCAAAGGAGGGCTCCTACAAGCTGCCCCCCCTTTGTAAGCTAAGGGCCTGGGTGGGGTGAGGCTGCTTCTGGACATGGAAAGACTTGAAGGTATTGGGATCCAGCAAGAACTCTCTTGGAAGGGCAAATTTAGTTGCCACTTAGAGAGATGTATGTTCTTTTATTTTTGCTATTCCTTCTTTAGTTTCCCTATCACAAGAAATAACAGAATGACAGAAGGGACCTTGGAGGTGATTAGAATTTAATTCACCAAAATAACAGCATACTCTGGAGCCACTCAGAACCACTGAGCTTAGTCAGACTTGCCCAAGTAAGAGCACATACTGTATTTATAGAGGTTTCCACTGCAAGCCCAACATGCAGAAATTGTACACTAACCAGAAAGAGGATGGGCAGAGTCAGATTAACAGAGTTGGAAGGGACCTTGTAGGTCATCTAGTCCACCACCACCTCGTCCAAGCAGGAGACCCTACACCATTTCTGATGGATAGCATTCCAGTCTCTTCTTGAAAGCCTCCAGTGATGAAGCTCCCACAACTTCTGAAGGGAGTTTCTGTTCCATTAGTTGATTGTTCTCACTGTCAGAAAATTCCTCCTTATTTCTAGGTTGAATCTCTCCTTGGTCAGTTTCCATCCATTATTCATTGTCGGGCATTCGGGTGCTTTGGAACACAGGTTGACCCCCTCCTCTCTGTGGCAGCCCATCAAATATTTGAACACTGCTATCATGTCTCCCCTGGTCTTCTCTCTTCACTAGACTAGCTAGTCCAGCCCCCTGCTCAAGTACCAAGGGGGGGTCAAACTCACGTCATCATGATGGTGTCATGTGATGTATTGAGACTTCCCACCTTCGCTAAACCGGGTGTGGGCATGGCCAGTGCGTGATGCAGCTGGCCTGCGGGCCACAAGTTTGACAGTCCTGCCCTAAACTATTTCAGACAAATGACTATCCAAACTCTTCTTAAAAATCTCCAGTGTTGGAAAGCACCTACAATTTCTGGAGGCAACTTGGCCCATTGATTACCGTATTTTTCAGAGTATAAGATGCACCTTTTTCCCTCAAAAAAGAGGGTGAAAATCTGGGTGCGTCTTATACACTGAATACAGCATTTTTTGCCTCCCGAAACCTCTCTCCCTTTTGCAAAAATGGCCATGCAAAGCCTTTAGGAGGCTTCCAGAATGCTCTTGGGAGCTGGGAAGGGNGAACTGCCAAATTGCAGGTAGCCAGCAGTCAGCAGAAGTAGCCTGCAGTACTGCATTCTAACCACTGCACCATCATGGTTCATGCCCCCTTGCTGCCTTGTTTTTTTTTAATTAAATAATTTTATTGCTTTTAACTTTGCAAGGTACCTGATGTTTAGCGATGGTTCAAAGTTATGGCACTTCTGTGAAAAGCGACTTATGATCTGTACTTGCACTTACGACAGTCAGAACGCGCTCCCTCCTCAGGGTCACATGATCAGCGATTCAAGTGCTTGGCAACCAGCTCACATTTATGACTGACTGGTCGCAGCATCCTGTGGTCAGATGATCGTGATTTGTGACTTAGGTTGCTGATTCTCAACAAAAAAACAAAAAAAACACCCACTGCGTTGATTCATAAAAATTGTCATAAAATCAGGTCTGATTGATTTTACGACAGCAATGTCGTAACCAAAAATAAATAAATCCCTGTCTCAGCTGTGATTGTAATTCTAGGTCTACCTGCATGGTTATTCCATCTAATTAGCCTATGTATCATGTTCCCAATGCAGAATTCATACTCAAGTAGCCTTTATTTTCTCTACCTTGAAACCACACTTCCAGTTTAGCGGAATGGAAAAAATTCCCCTTCTCCCAATCCCATTTCTTTCTGAAACCAAACCAGCAATACTCCCAAAGGAGTAGCTGGAGAGTGAGCTCTCTTCCTGGCATCCAAACCCTTGCAAATAATCAAAACCAAATCTATGTATCAACCATGCACAACATGATTCAAATCTAATCCTGGAGCGTCTGGGCTTTGAAGTGTGCAGAATCTATTGACATCTCGATCAATTACGTGAGAAACATGGAGATAATTTCCCCAGAACTTTTCTTTTCAATTCACAATCACATTCCCATTCCTGAGGTGGAACGCCAATAATCTATTAGGTCTGGGACTGCCCTTTCCCTCTGAGCTTTTTTTAACGCATTTTTGCTCCTGGACAAAACCAGCAGGAAATAGCAGGGAAAAATTCATGCCTGTAGTAGGAAGTAATCCTATAATGTATGCCAGGAGAGACAGAACCTCAAAGAAGGGAGAACCATCAGCTCAGGGGGTTAACCTGAAAGCAAAACTCATGTCCAAACCACACACATTAAAGCAAGTCTGTCACGGTGCTGAGGGATCAGCGCAACCAACATACCTCCTGGCAGGCTTATGGGCCCACAGCCATGTTCCTTCTCCATCTTGTTTTCCTCAATGTAGATCCGTTTGATACAGAGTCTCCATAACCCAAAGTGAGCTGTCTCACAGGTAGTGTTGTATTCCTCCACCTTAGGATTCAGCACAGCCCAATGGTCGGTCACCACTGCCGTGAACATCAAGGCAACCCCTATCAGAATAATAGCAAAGGTCACCCGGACTCTGAGAGCCTTGCCTTCGGTCATGGCTGGAAAACGTATGGTAGAAAGAGGGGCTAGGCGCTGCTTTTGCCCCTCTGGCAAGGAGCACCGAGAGTTGCCGGAGGCGTCTCCCAAAAGGCTTGGAGTAGCTAAGAATGTTCAAATATCATTCCTGCTATCTCAGAGAGGAGGAGGTTGGGGGCTGGGGGAAGATGGGTAATCGGCTACGGGTACACCTGTTGGGATCCATCAGATGACGGGACTGGCTGGGACTGAGGAACTGCTATTAATGTGTAGAAGGGCTGTTCAAATTACAGGGTAGTTAGGGAATTCCAAAGTCAGACGTGAAGCACAACTGTGTGCAAAGAAATGATTCCCTTCACCATGCTCCTTCTGCCCCAGTTTGCATGAGGTTGTGTGCATACTCTTCAAGAATAGTTATGAATGCTATCTGCTTGTTACAGCAGAACTGGAAATGTCTATCCTACACTCCAGCTAAGTCAAATCAAGAAAAGCTGGGTTGTCTTTCTAGACTTCAATGTTGGCTTATGTGTGTGGTCGCTTTTGGATATAAGCAGTCTATTTTGGCTGCTCACACAGAGTGGTGAGAAGCTGGAATGAACATTAGGAATTCACCAGTTACTGCTTAGCTTTTTGTCTCGTCCCAGTAGATTTGTGTCCTCAAAAGAAGCTTTTGATTTTTCTTACTGAATATAGTTTGCCAATCGGAACTGGGAAGGGATGAGAGAATGAATGGCTTTCACTCACTGGCTTTCATGCCCAAACGAGGTCTAGAACTCACAATCTCCTGGTTTCTAAGTCAGCACTTAGAATAGTGTTTTCTAAGACCACACATCTTAAAATGGCTAAGGTTGGAAACCACTGATCTAGAATGTTGTTATTGTTCCGGTACACAAAAGAAAATGCAGCAAGACTGCAGAAACTATTCTGCAGAATGTATAGATGCATTAAATGTGCCTGTGAAAACGTTTTTTAGACTTCTGAAAAAAAAGGTACAAGATGAGCAACATTCAACCAGCACAGTGTGACTTCATGCTGAGTAGAAAGTATGTAGGCCAGATGTTTGCTCTTCAGCAAATCACTGAGGAACAGATGAAGGTAAGGAATACTACAGCACAATTTTTGACCCAGTAAAAATATATATAAAGAGATGAATAGGCTTATTTATATATTATCTTTATTGCTTTATTAGATAGATCCTTGATGGTGAACCTATGGCAAGTGTGCCACAGGTGGCATGCAGAGCCATTTGTTAGGGCACAAGAGTCATGCGCGCACTGGCCAGCTGACTTCAGCCTTCTTTTGAGGCCGCTTTTCGCCCCCTGGAGGTTTCCTTGAAGTCTCCGGAACGCAAAAAAAACAGTCCTATGGGCAAACCGGAAGTTTGGGAAAGGACTTCCGGTTTGCTCGTAGGGCCGTTTTTCGCCCCCCAGAGCCTTCAGGAGGCACCCCTGAAGGCTCCGGAGGGCAAAAAATGACCCTACAAGCAAACCGGAATAATGATCAATGACTTATCATGTACGCTAAGCACTTATGCACTGGAGACAAATTCCTTGTGTATTCAATCACACTTGGCCAATTAAGTATTCTCTTCTCTTCTCGTCGTTCCACTGCACTCCACTCCATTTCATTCCATTGTATTTGACATTCAACCTTTACTCTAATCCTCAAGGTTTTAATGCATAGTGAATATGTTGAATTTTGGAACAGCTTGGCCTATACTGAAGGTTGCTGAATATAAGAAAAATTAATCCACAGCAATTCTTGAAGAAGTTAATTGGGGAGAAAGAGATATTAATACAACTCATGAAAAGTTCACTCACCTCTGATTTGCCAATGACACTGAGATGATCAATCACAACATCAGAGAAGATGAAAACTGTTTAAACAAGCTCAATGAAGTGAGTAATGCAGTTAGCTTTAAGATCAATAGAAACAAAACTCAATACACGTGCAACTGATTTTGCCAATATCCGAAAATGAAGCTTGGAAAAGAGCCAATAGAAGAGGTGAATTTTTCCATCTAGCTTGGTCAGGAAATCAATATTTCATACAAAATTGACCAAGAAGTATCACAAAGGGAAACAGTAGTTCAGCTCAGCTCCACTTTAATGACATAAAAACATTTCCCCAGCAGATGGGAAACCCCAAGACAAGAGCAAATACTTTCCACACCTTGACCTTTGCAGCAAGAACCCATGGATGTGACATGTGGAACTGACAGAAATCAGATGTAGAAACGTTTGGAGTGACATCGTGCACAATGGAAAGATAAATGCTAAAGATCTCTCATGGAAATAGAACAGGAAATGAAGAAATTCAACAACCATTTCAAAGATGTCATAAAAAACAGCATTAAAAATGAAAATACTGTATAAAAGGGCAAGCATATTGTATATTTATCTGACAATAAGCTCACAGAAAAAATGACAGGATACTGCATCGATCCTCAAACTATGGCCCGTGAGTTGGATATGGCCCGCCAATGCAAAGTATCCAGCCTGCAGAGTGGTGGGATTCAGCCCCGCCCCTCGCCCTGCCCCTCACCGTTGGCCTTATCTTCCAGCAAGCATCCACTCCAGCTGCATTTCTGGTTAGTTATTTCACCAGTTAAGCTGCGTTTCTGATCACACCGCTGCTGCTGAAGGTAAGGCCAAAGGGTGCTGGGATGACCAACTGACTGAGGGATGATCTCGCCAGGGCTGGTGGGTGAGTAGGGGAGGGGCTACTGCTGGCTTGAAAAGCAGCTCTGCTGCCAGCTTGTAAAGTAGTGCTTTAAAAGTCTTTAAAATGCTTTAAAAACACTTTAAAAACAGCCTCTCAGGATGTTTTTCAGAGCCATGTGATGCAGGGCTGGTGAGTGAGTAGGGGAGGGGCAAGTACATCAAGGACAAAGGCAAAATGAACTGCTAAATTGGCCATGCCCACCAGTCACATGACAACCTAGCCACACCCACTCAGTCACATGACCACCTAGCAACATCCACACAGCCAGTCCGGCTCCCTAACAGTCTGAGGGACCATGAATCGCCCCCCTGTTTAAAAAGTTTGAGGGCCCATGAGATAGTGGATCTATAATTACACAAGCCTGTTTGGAAGACCTCATACAAGATGGAGAAATAGATGCCCCCCAAAAGATCTTCATTCCAATTGGTCAACATAGTGAAAGACGGAATTAAATATAGGTATTTGTTGAAGTTGTCAATGTGGAAGCAACCCTGTCCGGATCCATTGTCAAGTGATAGAAACGGAAAGTAAAATGCTGCGCAAGGGTCTGAAAATCTAAACCTAATTTTATTTATTTTTGCAAGGAATGTTAGAGAGTCTGTATGATGCAACAAGGAGAATGTGCTATGGAGCTTAAATTAATGCATCAACCAAAGTGGTTGTTTTTGACAGTAAAAATTGAGCAAACAATTGCAAATTATTGCAAATTGGGCTAGGGGGAGTAGGCAAATTCTTGGTAGAATGTTTACTGAAGATGAGAAAATGGTTGGAGAAATTTGAAGTGGTAGAATGCTGGTGGAAAGATAATGGATAATAGCTATTCCATCGAAAGAAGCCATAATTATTGTGTGCAGAAGTGTCCTTCTAACCAATTGGTTAAAAGGAAATAAATGTTGGTTATATCTGGGGAAACATAGACATAAATTGGATGAACATGGGAATCAAGTACTCCAGAAGTGTTTATGGTAAAGCAAGAAAAGATAATAAAAAATGAATGGACAATGAGCAAAATAAATAAATAAAGAGTCCCTATGGATTTTACTCCACTAGTTGTTGTTGACTACCAGTGCAGAGCTCATCTCCATTTCAAGGCCAGTGAACCAATGCTGTCCGAAGACATTTCCATGGTCATGTGGCCATCATGATGTTGCAAAGCACTCACTGTTACCTTTCCGCTGAAGTGGTACCTATTTATCTACTTGCATTTGCATGCTCTCAAACTGCTAGCTGGACAGGAGCTGAGGTGAGGATGGGAGGTCACCCCATCATGTGGCATTCAAATCTGGAATGTGGGCTGGATTTCCAGCTGACAAGCCCAGCATCTTAACTACTATGACCGATACCAAAACGTTTGTTGGGTCATATTGAGAGCCTGATTGAGGCTCATATTGAGAGTGCAAAATGAATGAAGGAAAAAAAAGGGTAAATGAGTCAAGAAGAAGGAGAAGACTGAGAAAGTCGTAGTTGGGTGAAATTGATGAGATTCTGCAAAAGAGAGAGGTGAGATGTTCAGTAAACAAAAGAGGAAGTGTGAAGAAGATGATGGACATGGTGGCTGTTTTTCAAAAATTGAAAGGTATGGAGAGCAGAGGTGGTATTCAGCCAGTAGCAGAAATTTTGAGTAGTTCTGAGAACCAGCAAATAGGCTGGCCCTACCACCACTGCCTCCCAGTGGATCTTCTTTTGTTGCCCTGAACAGGAGAAATGAAGCTGGAAAGCAGGTTAGTGGGGTGGGGATGGAATGGGGATTTTGCAATATCCTTCCCTGCCACACCTACAAAGCCACAGCCACATCACACCCACAAAGCCATGCCCACAGAACCGATAGTACAATTTTTTGAATCCCTCCACTGATGGAGAGGTTTGATGGATATATAGCATAGCTTGCATTAGCGGAAGTAGGCAGAAGTTATTTAATGTCATATCATTCAGAAATGGGGCATTGCAATATTCCATGAGATTGGATTAAATATCAAAATGAAAACTCAAAGAAGGCAACAGCAGTATTTTGGATTGGGTAAAACTAAATTCATTCTTCCTCTAAAAAGTGCCAGGTTTTAATTTTTATATGAGAGAGCTCTTGAGCAGAATTTGTATTGTTGGTTTTGGAAATGAGATTAATTCTGTTGCATCAAATATCAATCCAATAAAGATGGCAAGAACTGTCAGGAATCACTGGCATGATTGTTGTTCAGTAACGGAGAATGCACTGACAGCAGTTGCAGCTAGGAAAAAAAACATTAGCTAATGTTTGAATAGCAAATGACACTATGCATTGAGTCTAAAAACCAGATTTG